GAAAAGGGAGGGCGCTGGCTTGTTTGCGAAACCTGTCACTCCTTCTGGAAATGCAGCGCCTGCCCAGGTTTTCCCTGGCTCCGAGCGAGCTACACCACGAGCCTTCTCCGCATCAGCAAGGCGGCGTCTGCCGGAGCCACTGCCGCAGGACTGGGCACCAAACCCGCCCGCTCCGGCGCAGCGGGAGTCAAGGGCAGCACGCAGCGGGGAGCCCAGGGGTGGCCGGGCCGCTGGCACCACAGCTGACTTTCCGCATCTCGGATGCGGGGGCCCGCTTCGGGGCTCCGGAGGCCCGGCCGTGGTCAGTTGTCCACGGTATCCCCCCCGCCCCCGCCACGGCCCATCCGCCTCGGGCGGGATCGCTCCCACCGGAAGAGCGTGGAGAAAGGCTCAGCAGCGGTGGGCAGGGGCGGATTTTATTACTGCGGATGGCGCAGTCGCCTCCCCTGGAGACCCACGACAAAGATGCGAGCCCCCCGCCGCGCTCGCTGCGCCTCAGTCCCCGCCTCGGCGCAAAAGACCCTGAAAGAGGGGTTCGCGCCTCTGAGTTTGCAGATGGGCTGGACCGGCGGGGAAGTTCTCGCGGGTGGATACCGGAGGGACGCGACGCCCCCGCCTCCCCGGCGCAGGTGGCCCGGCGCGCCCATACCTTAGTGGCGGGGTCCGCGGCGGCGATGGCGGGGTCCCCGGTCGTGTCCGGCGCCGCCTCCGCCGAGGGGCCGCCGCCGCCGCTGGGCTCGGGCTCGGCCGGCGTGGCGCTCCCCGCCTGAGGCTGCTCCGGGCTCTGCTGCTCGGTGGAGCTCCCGGCGCCCATGGCTCCTCCGCGCTCCTCCCGCGCCCAGCCGCCGGGTTACGCCTTCCCCAAATCGCAGGGACGCGGGCAAGAGCGAGAAGACGCGCACCCGCGAGGTCCCAAGAGCGCCTTCCTCCGCCGCCGTCCTCCTGCGAACGCGCCCAGCCTGCGAATGAAGGAGACGCGCTCGCGGCAAACTCCTTAAAAGAAAAGGAAGAAAAAAAAAGCCACCTCTGAGCCTCCGCCCCCTCCCCTCCGGTTTTCCCTCGCCTCATCACATGAGCACGGCCAGACACGCCTTGCAGCAGCATCTCCCCCCGGGCTGCCGGGACCGGGGGCCGCGCCTCGCCAGCCCGCGTGCAGCAGCAGCCCACCCGGCCCCCAGGGCGCCCTCCCCTCCCCGAAAGGGCACAGGAGCTACGAGGATGACCCAGGGCTGCAGAAGGTGAGGGGACCGCAAGAACGACGGGGGGCAAAAAGCCTCCCGGGGACATTGGCTTAGCTGGGGTTTATTAAATGACTGATAACCCAAGGCGGGGGCTTCTCCTGCCGCTGACTTCCCACTCGCCCGGGAGCGAACCCGAAGGCCCACTTGCTTTCCTTCAGATTGTGTTTGACTCTAAACATTTGTTCCTCCCTCCTCCCCTTTAGCAGGAGAGAGGCAAGCGCTTCTCGGCCCCTCCGGCCTGTGACCATATTTGGGAACCTCACGTGGCAGGAGCAGGGAACCGAGAGGTTAATTCAGTCAGGCGACGGATGAGGTGGGCCAGGCGGCCCGCGCTCCCCATCCTCCGGAGCAAGTGATGTCAGAGATGCCATCGGCAGTGCTGGCCCCCCTTCCCTGGGGACCGGGGGGAAATGAGGCTGTTACCGGAAATGTGCCTGTCCTTCTCGGAGGGCCTGCTGCTGGGGCTCACCCATCCAGGCCACCTCTCCCGAGCGACGCTGAATGAGACATGGTGGCATAGAGCGGTTCGTTCGCCATCAGTATCTCTCAAAAGATGAAGACTTCCATGGCAGCCTAATGGCTTGCATTCTTTCTTCTCGTACTCTTGAATATAATATTTATTATATGAACATAGCAGGCAGTCAATAAATGTTTGAAATAAATTTTTAGGTAGATTATTTGGCACATAAACACGAGGTGCTGGGACTGAAAGATAAAATTTATCCCGGTTGTAACTGGCAACCGACTGCCTCGGTTTTCACAAATAGTTGGAATTTCTATTAAATATGAAGAAACTTGTGGAATATTGACACTAGATTCCAGATAAATATCTCATACCCAGATTCAGTACAGTTTAGTAGAGAGTTGACGTAAGCAGTGGTTCAGCACTAGGATGTTGCGTGCCTAATTAATTAATTGCATGAATTCTTACGGTCCCTTGGGAACCATAGGTCAGTTACCCAGCAATAAATTTGTTTTCTGAATTAATCATTTTTATTGAAAGGACTACACAAAGGCCAATTTCTCTGGAATTTATCCCTTAGGAAACAGTATATTTGCAAAATACTTGGTTTTAGGAATTTATACACATTTCACTCACTTTGACTTAAATTTTGATTATTTAGGAAACATTAGTATTCTTTTCTGTTACAGGCTGTGTTCAAAGCACTTTGCATATATAATCACATATAATCCTTACAATAACCCCATGGTATAGATACTATTATTCTCATTTTACCAATGGTGGTGGGAGGGAGTAGGACCAGAGAAATTAAATCACGCGCTCGAGATCTCACAGCCGGTGGAAGGAAAAGCAAGGAGTCCAACCTGCATCTCACTTAAAAGTCCACACCTGACCACTGCACAGCACTTCACTCCCCTTCTGGAAGAAGCTTTCAGCTGTGTTCTCTCTTCTCAGGGCTGTTAGTGAAAAGTGGCATTTGGACATCACTTAGGATGTTAAGAGCTAAAAACACTGTTAAAGCCTATTTGAGAATGATTAACGTCAGCACATTTGAAAATGTATCACTAAGTACAAATACTATCAACATTTTCACATTCTATGAGATTATATTTATTCGGTCCTTGGGAAATTCTTAACAAAACTTTTCACATGTACTAGCCTATAAATTTTTAGAAAGGATCACAAGATCAAGGCAACAATACACAACCCACATGTGCTTTCTTAGATCAGTAGCTGCTGGCTTTATATCTATTTTCCAGCCTATGTAAATGTTCGTATTATTTGTAAAAAATAAAATCTTATTTTAAAAGATGTGCACATTCTAGTACATTCTATTCTGCCCGAAACAGCTCCATAATAAGGGGATATTAAGAATAACAGGCTCAAAGCTATCTTAAGTAAAAAGAACAAACTGGGAGGTAAGGGCTACACTTGTACTCACCATCAAATTGGTACTAACTGTTGAACACTAGGGTGCTCACGTGACAGTAATAACCTCCAGGGATTAGGGGGATGGGGGGTAACTAAAGGACATGGGAGCATTGTAGAGGGGAAGGGCAGGCCTCTAACCCTCGCTTGGGTGAGGCAAAGACATAAAATGTAACCATAATGTTTGTACCCTCATAATACCCTGAAATAAAAAAAATTTTAAAAAAACTGAAAAAAAAAAAAAGAGTAACAGGCTCAGCTGAGCACAGTGGCTCACACCTGTAATCCTAGCTCTCTAGGAGGCCAAGGCAGGAGGATCACTTGAGTTCAAGAGTTCAAGACCAACCTGAACAAGAGCAAGACCCTGTCTCTACTAAAAATACAAAAATTAGCTGGGCATGATGCTACATGCCTGTAGTCCCAGATACACAGGAGATTGAGGCAAGAGGAACACTTGAGCCCAGGAGTTTGAGATTGCAGTGAGCTATGATGATGCCACTGTACTCCTAGCTGGGGTGACAAGAGCAAGAGTCTGTCTCAAAAGAAAAAGGATAACAGTCTCCTTTATAGATTCACACAAGCACATACATATCTATGTTTGGTTTCTGGACTAACCAAAGAATCCTTTCTATCTTTATTACAGACCAGGGAGTTACTCTTTGTTGATTTATTTTCCTTTAAAAAAAAAAAAAGAAGTAGTTCTGTTCTTAATTATCCCTAACGGTGAGATATCCCAACATTTTGGATATGCTAGTTAGTGCTTCAGAATGTTACAAAGTTCATTCATTCATTCATTCTATTCTTTCTTTCAACACACGTTTATTGACTGCCTGTTATGTGCCAGGCACAAAGTTACTACTATGCCTCCCACTGAAGGTTCTAAATCAAGCCACAAAGGTTTTCTTTTCTAGGGTTTTGGAGATGTCTTCAGAATTGGTTCGATTGGCATCTGGGGTGATAAGGAAGGCAGCTGTTCTCTATTTTCCACTGCTCAGTCCAAGGCTGTCAGTTACCCTGATTTCTCACCAGCAGCTTTGTCGTTCTCCTCCAAACAGCCGGTCGCAGGTGTCCCCACACATCCTCTCCCATGGGGCAGTTGTTGGTAGAGTCGTTTGTTGGTTGCTCTGGGAGGATAAATTCTCATAAAAACAGTTTGAGATTTCTCAAAAACAAATACACGTTGCCAGTGTAGCAGGCTAAACTTGTACTTCTTGTGCTTCTCCAGAAAGACTGGTCTCATGAGACTTACCAATAAAATTTAGGGTCATAATAAGCATCTTGTACATGTACCGAAACATTTTGAAATATAACATTAAAGGAATTCACAAATGTCAAGCATTTTACAACTGAGTTAAAAAACCCTCTTCAAAAAGCAATAATAATTACAATTATTAAAACAATTTAAAATCCACACTTAACCCTACCCCAAAGATTCCTTCTCTAGCTACAAAGCCTTCAGGCAATTTCACTGAGCCAGTGGCAACTCTTCGCCCTTGAAACTATTTCTCTCTTATCACTTTTTTGTTTTCCCTAAATGAAAAGTCTACTTCTTCTTTCTGAACCAATTGTTCCCATCAAGATATCCAATCATCTAAGAACCCAAAGCCCACCTTCCTTTCTTGCATTTGCTAATTATAAACTAGAAGAATTAGCAGTTTTATTCAGTTCATGAGTAACTAATAATCTAACGTTCATATGGGAACTGCAGAAAATGTTCAATTTACATATGAAGTTCAAAGGTCAATCACTTATAGATATACATCATATATAAGGCAAATACTAAATACCACCCTTGTAACTCTTTTTTTTTTTT